CTTCAAGGCTTGCCAAAAAATAAAAGTGGTGATTTCAGATTGTCCTCAGGCTCCACGGCTCAGTCTGTACTCCAGGGGTCACTGGGGATGGGAGCTGGGGTCAAGCCTGGGGGCAAGGGCAACCAAAACAACCGGGCAGCGCCAGACTCCACCCACCCCTCCCGCAGAGCAGATTAGTGCATAAGTGGGTGTCAAGTGGAGCAGGATAACCTACCTCGGGGCCTCACCTGCTAACAAGGGTGAGAGGGACTGTGTTAAAGACCCAGGCCAGGTCCTCAGGTCCTGTGGGTCTCCTGAGGTCCAGAAATGCCCCTGCCTCCCAGCCAAGGTCTCTGCTGTCCCCACTGTCTCTCCCACTGATCTCAGACCCACCCTTGCCCTCCACTCTGGGATGGGGCAGCAAGGCTGCCCTTCCACCTTCAAACACTCCAAGCTCTGCATCCTCGTATGGGGTGCCCATCCCCTGGGACTCCAGAGGGCTTTTGCACTCATTCCTACATCTGTTAAAGATGTCAGCTAGAAGGCTGACCCTGGGGACCCAATTCCAAACGGCACCTTGTGTCAGTCGCTACCCATTTACTGAACATGGATCAAACAAGCACTTGCTGCTTATCTGCTGTGTTCCAGGCACCATCAAAGGCCCTGGCTTTAACCAGGGTGGACAGGGATGTCTCACCAGAGAGGACCTGTGAGTAGGGAGGTGACAGGAGTCAGGGAGTGAGTCCCACAGGGAAAGGCGTGCCTGGCAGAAGGCAAGTCTCAGCAGTCTGTGAGGTGGGACAGCACCGCACTTTGTTGGAGGAGCCATCTGGGGGAGCAGATGAGCTGTGGGGGGGAGGAAGACATCACTGGGGAGTGGCAGGGCCAGAGCGAGGCCGAGCGTCTTCTGGTTGAACAGAGCATTCTCAGAAGAGGACCCGTAGCACTGCGAATCCTCAGTAAATGTTAGCTGTCACTTACGATATGATTCCTTACCCTCCATCCATAGGAGAGTGAATCTGAGACGTGTGGATGAATCCCATAGACCAGGCACTTATGTCCTTTAAGTGGTCACTAAATGGTTCATATCATTTATTGTTGATATTTCTAAGCTACCAACCAGGAAGACTAAGGTGGGTATATCTCTTAGAACAGAGATTTTATAAATCATCATTTTATAAATTTTATCATTTTGTAAATCATCATTATTCTTGTCATTCCTAATTCAGAGATGAGGAAAGTCAAGGCTGTAGTTAGCCTCAATCAATGTTGGATCCCAGCACTGTCGCTGTTGTTATCCCAAGTCCACAGGTGAGGCCCCAGGTCTTTAATAGCAGCCACTGCTCACACCCAGCCCCAGGGGGCTCTAGACCTGGGCTGCAAGCCCCTCACCCCACTGACACTGCATGCCTGCTTTAGGCCAGCTTCCAGGGAACTTAAGCATCTTCTTTATCAGTGTCTTTGTGTCCCACATGTGGGGACAGTGGGGGATATTCTGCTGCTTTATCACTTTCAACCCACAGTTCAAATCCTGGTTTTCCTGTTGGCGGACTGGGTGACCTCAGGCAAATTGCTTAACATCTGAAACATAAAGCAATTTTGGAGCGATACCCGCTGCACAGAATGTACTATACAACTGGCAGTTGGGGAGCAAGGCCCCTGCTGAAGTTAGGCTCTTACCCCTCACAGAGACTGGTAGAGCCTGTTGTCTTCTTTGCCATTAAATTTCAAAGAGATGGTTCCCAGGTCCTTGACAAAGGCATTCCTGACCCACTCTGGTGGTAAGAGGCTTCTTAGTTTTACAAAGAGTTATATGCATTTCAAAGAGACTGAAAAAGAAGAAAGTTTCCTAAGGTAGTTGCTCCAAGAAAAGGCAGGCATGGGGGAATCTCTTGTTTCCAACAGGGAGGATTAACCCTTTTATTTCTATTTTGTATTTGTCCCCCAGTCCTGGGTAAGTCACTTCATTTACCTGGGCTGCTGCTGCTGGTTGTTTTTTTTTTTTTTTTTTCTTTTTCCTCTCCTATCTAGAAAGAGTGATCTACACCAGTGTTCACAAACTCTAGGCATCCATTTTTAGGCCTGACATAAGTCTTTTGAAGCCCGGTGGTACCCATCACCTTTGAGCTACTTAAAAGTTCCTCTCCTATGTGGTCATTTGCAATAAAGCCCACTTGTTTCTCATCCTACCCATCCCAAGCCAGCTGACCACAGTAATACCCACGGGTCAACACCAGAGCCACATCAATAAGTTTCCTGCTCTGCACGTGTTTTCTTTGAAACTAGCCAATCCGCATCCTTCTTGGAAAGCCTAAGAGATAAGCTGATGATCCTTCATAAGGGCCTCTCCCCACACGCCCTCTCTCCCCTGCTTTCCCCACTTCATCCGCTGGTTGAGCTTCCTGCTGCCTCCAGACTTGCCCTCGGCACCCTTGACCTCCGGGACTTGTTCTTCCTATTCAGTATTTTGTCTTCACCCCTCATTGTGTTGCATCTGAGACAAACTTCACTCCTTCTGGTCAGGGTTCTCCTAGAGAGTGGCAATCTCGGGAGGAATAAACTGGACATAGTCAGACAAGAGCCACAAGGGAGTCAGTGGTGTAGATGTCTCCTGGGAAAGGGACCCTGGCTTTCGTGGGATGCTCAGACACTGAGCAATAAGCAGGATAAATAGGTATCTTGAAGGTTACACCAGAACCATCCAGGACCACCTCCCATTAAGGGAGAGGTGGAATTTATAGACACTTTACATGGAAGCCTTGGGACTGACTCAGAGAAGAATCACCCATTTGAGCTGTCCATCTGCAGAATAGCTACCATGGGAACGCCTCTGTTTGTGCTTCTGCTGCAAACCATTGATTCTCAAATTGGGCTGCACAGTAGAGTCAATAGCAGTTCTGTGGAAACAAGGAAGCTTAATCACCTTCAGAAAGCAGAGTCAGTCTTTTGGGGATGGTACGCAGGTAGGAGTACAGTAAAATTTTCCAGTTCATGAATTTCTCAATTTTTCCAATTTTTCACATCTGTTCTTAAGAATGGGGGTGGGGAAAGCCAGAAGTTAAAGATTCAAGCCTGGAATCTTCACCCCTAAAGGTGCTGCTCAGGACAAAGCATTTTGTTCTCCAATCTCTGTCTCACCTGTAAACCAGAAATTACTTCAGTAAAGTCGTCAGGGAAAATAAGAGGTCATTTTCCTTCCCCTCCTCACAAAGGGAATTATGCAGTCTCTTCTTTGATGGGAATGAGAAGTCGATCTATGTGTGTACCCTGGATCTAACCGTACTTGCCAAAATGGGATCTTTCAATCAGTGGATTAAAAGAATGTCTCACCAAAGTGCAGGACAAATGTCACTTAGGATCCATGTGGTCCAGATGGCTCATACAATAACATGAATCACACAGAGGGGATGTTATTCCCCCTTCAAGATTTTAAGCCTAAATAGGGGTTTAAAACCCTGAATTTTCAGCCACAGCCTTATTTTCAGCCAACTATTGGTTTTTGAACTTTATTTTGATTGAAAATGCCTGAAACACATCTCTAAACTTCTAATGTCCCCTTTAAAATAAAGCCTTGGACAAGCGACTGTATGTTTCCTAGAATGTAATATATTTGCTTTGCTTCTGTTTGTGTTTGCGTTTTTCTTCTAAGGGCAATTGGCATTTTCATGTATGGTAATAAAAATTTTTTTCTTTTAAAGAAATAACACTAGCTTAACTCTAGTTTCAAATAAAATTAATGGGCTCAACACAATTTTGACCAATGAAGGCAGACACCAAAGTCAATGCTTCCTATACTTCAAGGATGCTCAAAAGAAACCTCAGCCTTCAGCTATTAGGGAGAGAGGAGGACTGTCTATGAGAACTCTGCAAACTGGTGGGAACCAACACTATATTGAGATAGATGTAAACAATTTTTATGATGCTGAAGAGCAGAATCAAAGTGTAGAAAACTAAACAGATATTCCCACAAAAGAGATGCAGAGGGTTTAGGGAACATTATTAAAGAATGCTTATCATCCTTTAAACCAGGTTCATACACCTTTAAACACACTGGTAGAACTCTAGCATTCAGAACTAAGAGATGGTGCACCTGCTGCCATCGTCCTTCTTGGAACATTTGATAAAACTCTGGCAAACTGTTTGAGTTGAATATTAACAATGAAGCTTTTTCAGATGGGGGATGCTAGTAATAATAAACATTTTGAAATCTTTGTCACAAGAACTGAGGCCATAGGATCTGAAAGTCGTCTGAACAAAAGAGATGGGCATACTGAAAATCATCTTGGCACAGATGGTCATGGATCGTGTGAGCCAGAGGGACAAATGAGGGCCTGGGCACCAACGACACCCTCCAACCATAGACTCAGCAACCTTGTCCAATAGGATGGCTCCATCACCAGGGGTTATCTGACAGGTGGGGAGAGGCTGACAGGTGTGCAGGGGCAGGTGTGCACAGTGGAGGGAGGCCCAGGCCTGGTTACTGGCGTGGGTGTTGAGAGGCGGCGGGGATAGCAATGAAATTCATGCAAGGAAAATATCTGCGGTGTCACAAGCTATTTTACCAGCACGGTGGGTGGTCCTCTCATCCACGGGGGAACTGGGAAGTTTTGCCTGTTGCTGAGGTCCTAACAGCTAGTAAGTAACCCATTTCAACTCGGGTCTGTTGCTCTTCCCAATCATTGTTGTGCTCTCTTCTGAACGCTGTTCCCTTGCGGCTCTGAGTGATCACTCCCTTGTGGATTGTAATCCAGCCAGAAGCCAAAAACAAGTGGCTGTATGGATGTGTGTGTGCTTGTTATGATCCCTGGCTGAAGCCACCAGCAGCCAGTATGGAAGAGAACTTGAGGGGTTCTTCTGCAGAACCCAATGACAGGCCAGGTCCCCAAGGACACCTGACAGAATATCCATGCCTAAATGCTTACCATCAACAGCGGCCCACGAGGGCCTCGTCCACCAGGTCCCACTTTGGGAATGGAAGATCATCCTCCAACTGCTGACAAGTTGTTGTCAGCTGTCAGTCCCTTCAGGAATCCCCTCAGTGACGGTCCTCCTTCTGGGGCAGCCCATACCCAGTGACCCACAAGGTGTGAAGACCTGGCCCTCTTGGCTGAGCTGGGGAAACTTAGTCATCCCACCTTCAGAACTCCCCATGAGGTCCGCTGGGGTCCCTCTGCTCCATTCTGCTTCCCTTTCTCTCCTGTCCTTGGAGTTGACCCCAAGAGTAGTGCCTAGTAAATATCCACTATGCCCATCTCCATTACTGGGTTGGCTTTGGCAGTCAACTGTACAATCTCAGCTAAACATCCCCTGCGTGGCTCGTCTTGGGCTTCCACTATCTGAATGAAGGGTCTGGCTCCTGAGTTGCATTCATTCATTCAAATAGTCTTTAATAAACACTTATCAACCCCCTACCACGGGTCAACAAGTGCTAAAGCACTTTACTAGAAATAGTCACAAGGGTCTGTCTGAGCCCTGAAGCTACTTGTAGCTAAAAGAGAAGAAAGTTACGGGACACACAATCCCATAGGGAGTAATGATGTTAGGAAAGGCTTTTCAGAGAACTGCAGGGCACTTGGAGTGAGACCATGGGTGTCCCCTCCTGGTTTAGGGTAGCCGTGGGTGGGCACCCCAGGGGAGAGGGATGGGAGCAGTTCAGTGAGGAAGGGAAGTGGAAAGGAGGCTGGTGCAGATTTCACAATGCCTCACCTTGGATCCCGAGCAATAGGCTCAGCCAATCGTGGATTGAACCTCTGAAACTATGAACCCAAATTAAGTTTGCCTCATTTAAGTTGTTCTTGTCAGGCATTTTGGTCACAGTGACTGAAATCTGACTAATACAGTGGGAAGAAAAGAGAAAGGAAGGTGTCAAGACAAAATATGTTCTTCAAGGGAATGCCCCCAATGACCTAATTCCTCTTAGTAGTCTCCATACCTCCCTCACAGTTAGTGCAATTAGTAGCCCATTAAGTATGAATCCATCCATGGATTAATTAATTCACTGATGAGATCACAGCCTTCAGGATCCAATCACTCACAAAAAGCCCCACCTCTGAGCACTGTTGGCAACAGAGACCAAGCCTTCAACACGCAAGCTTTGGGGGCACATTTAAAATCCAAACCATAACAGGTGGCATGCTGACCTTGAAATCCATGCAGGCACTGTGGTCAAATAGTTTTGAATTCAGATCCATTCTCCTCTTCTTACCCTCTGTCCCTATGGACCTGATACTGAACTCTGCCAGCTTCAGAGTACCTACTGACTGCATGCTGAATAGAGATATAGGGTAGAGATATACTGAATCTCTACCCTATGATGAAATGAGCACCTCAAAGCCAACGGGCCAATTAAATGAAGTAGAAGAAGGGACAGTCTGTGGCTTTCAACACATGTGGCATTCAACTAGCATCCATTTCTGTCTCCTTTCCTTTCTTCTCCACCATTAAAGTCTCTGGAGACTCAGCTCCTTAAATGCCAAGGGAACACCTGAGAATGTCCATGTCAGCTTGAATGGGATGTAGTAGTCCTGGTTTGGAGGGTAGCTCCATTGGGGGCCTGTTAAATGCCTACTTCTCTCCCCACTTGAATTCTGATTGGTTTCTGGGGTATTCTTGATTCTCAGAGTTTGTCTGTATGTTTCCTTATTCTGTGGTGCATATTGAGCAATTTCCTCAGGATGATCTTCCAATTTACTGATGATCCTGCTAGCTATACCCAGTCTACAGTGTGGTCCAGGCATGGTGCCTCCTGTGGCTTTTAAGTGGGTTTGGTATGTGTTCCCACTGATTGTGGAAGGCATCATTGGCCTTTCCTTGAAGTACAAAGACTATATAGGAGTCATACTCAAGTTCAATTTAAGATGGGAAAAATATCCATCTGGTTAGGTGCTTTAGAAAAATCTTATTGTGATTATTTATAAAAATAGGCCAGAGCTGTTTGGGGGAGCCAGGGACTCTACTGATATACCTGATGGGGACTGCACTAATGACTAAACACATTGAATCCTCCTGTCTGGATATCTATGTCGATTGCAACTATACCTGAAATACACACGTCTGAGTTCAACCCAAGTGGAGTGTTTTGAGCATGAGGCCTTTGGCCCCATGGTAGGAGAGAAGGGCCTTGACAGAATGACTTGCCTTTCCTGAGCCTCAGTTTCCTCATCCGCAGAATGAGGAAACATCAGAACACCCAGCTCCCGGTGTGACCTTGATCTGACCTATACCTGACTTTTCATTCACTGCTGCTTCATTTCTGGGGTCATACAATCAGGCCTTCTTCTACCTTCATCCCTCAAAGCTCACTTATGCCACGACCTTTGTCTTCCTCTTCCCTCTGCCTGGAGCGCACTTTGCTGCATCCTACCGGAGCTAAATGCTCTTCCTCAGTCAGTTCTTAGGGAAAGCAGGCTGAACCCTGTTTCCTGTTCATTCTCCCACTCCTTGTCTTTTAATTGACGTGTTTAATACATTTTCACTTAGAGAAATCCCTCTTCGGGGAGGCCCGGCTTCTGTTATTTTGTTTTCTATATTATGTCTTACAGGGTTTTTGTTGGCTTCGTTTCCTGCATAATTATCTTCTTTCCTAGTCACTTGATTTTTATAGTGAAACATTTTAATTCCCATCTCTTTTCATTTTGGGTATATCCTATAGCTATTTCTTGGCGGTTCCCAGAGTGTCCCGTTTAATATGGTAACTGGATACCGCTCTGGTGTGAGTCTGCAGCAGCCTAACTTCAGTAACATAAAATAGGCTGCTCCTGTGGAGCTCCAGCCCCCTCCCCTCAGCTGCTGATGTCACAAAGTTACATGCGTATGAATAACTGGGGAGGCATAATTGGGATTTTTGGTTACATAAGTCTCTTAGATCTTGTAGAAAACAAAAGCAGCGTTAGATTTTTAAATTGTCATGAATTTGCCTTTACCAGAGATCTTTCTGTCTTGAGCCAGCTGAGTTCCTGTCTAATGTCCTTCAGTTCAACCTGAAGGACTCCCCTCATGCAGGTCATGACTACTGGTAACCAGCTCCCTCGACTCTTATTTATCTTATGCTATGGTTGGAATGTGCATCCCTCCAAAACTCCTGCTGGAACTTCAACCCCACTGCGACACTCATTGAGAGGGAGGGCCTTCAGGAGGTGACTGGGACACAAGGCCCCAAATTCATGGATGCAATGCATGTCTTTGGATTAGAGGGCTTGTCTAGCACCCACAAGGCCCTCTTTGGATTCCTAGCGCCACACACACAAAAGTACACTGATTAAACCAGGAACAGTGGCTACTCATTCGAGGCCAGCCTAGCAACTTAGGGAGACCCTGTCTCAAAATAATTGCTGCAGTCTGTCTGGGCACAAAATAACCCAGCCGCCACAAAGCCTTGTAGGTTCAAACAGCAATTCTTTATTCCCCAACTCTCACCGGCACTGCACACACACTACTCAGGAACACACTCCTTCCACCGGGCTCCACACCCAATCTCCCCAAACCCCGCGAGAACTCCTTGGGAACTCCAAAGTAGCGGGCACCCCAGGCAGATTCCTGGAGCTGCCCTATTCCCCCCCCCACCCCAGCAGGGTCCATATACAACTCAATCAATCCAGCATCACAGCAATTATATACAGCTTAACTCAAATCATCATCTCAATGGTTCGCTGGCATCACCTTTCAACCATTCCCTCTGGCAATATGCCAGGTGTCATTCTGACTCGCTGTGGCTCTCAACATCAGAGACCCTGTCTCAAAATAATAAGGGCTGGATTGTAGCTCAGTGGTGGAGTCCTTGACTAGCATGCACAAGGCCCTGGGTTTAATGACTGATATCTATCAATAAAGAAATAAATCGGTTTGAGACAGTTCAATCTTTTTACTCTTATACCATGGGAGAGCACAGTAACAAGGTACCACCTTAGGAGGAGAATGCCAACTTGGCCTTGGACTTACCATCCTCAAAACTGAGAAATGGATTTCTGTTGTTAGTATTCCAGAGCCTAAAATGTTTTGTTACAGCAGCGTGAAGGGACCAACACATCTGGATGCCTCCATTTCTCCCTCCTGTGGGAAGGACAGCTGTGCTGGCCCCAGGATGCTTGGCTGACAGATTTTTGTCCTTCTTCACTCAGAATATATCAACTCACTGCCTTCTGGGTTCCAGGGTTCCTGATGGGATCGCTGTCAAGGACCTGAAGGGAAACAATGATGAACGCTCCCCCGCTCTCATCCCCGGAGGAGTTCATAACGTGCCCTGTGAGGTCACAGGGGGCAGACATTGTGTTAGTGTCACCCCGTGAGTGAAGAGCTCCGTCCTCTTCACACCTTCCTCCTGACTGAAGGAAAAAGGAGTGTAAGGGTCCACCGAAAGAAACCACACAAGAGACTGGCTTCATGCAATTGGCAGGAGGGAGTTTATTGGACCAGCATGCTGGGGCTCAAGGCTCACTCAGGAAGGGAGAGCAGCCCAGAGCCCAGAGCAGAGGTCAAGCAGAGCTTAAGTACACTTTTTGGGGAGGGCGGGGGGCTTTGCATACATCAGAACAAATCATCATGAGGCGCGGGAAAATTGAACAACAACTCTGAAACATGATTAGCACATTCATTGGCGGGAACAGGCTGGATGGGGGCGATTGGTCACTCCTAAGCGGGGTACACATTCAAACTGAATGGTTTTAGGGCCTCAAGGACTACGTGACATACTACACAGAGTCCCAGGTTATTAGACAACCAGTGGAAACAGTGGAAATATTTACTGGGCAGTTCGGGTATTGTCCTAACAGCTACAGGGATTACAGGTTTGGGGGGTAGCAGAGGAATTTTAACAATACCTAGTCTTTCACTTTTTAACTCAAGCCTTGCAGTTTAGAAACTTTACAATGCCCGGTCTTTTATACTTTAACTCAGGCTTTGCGGCTTAGAATCAGCTTAGAAATTTTACCTTTACAGGAGTATCTTGATGTAGATACGATGAGGCCTTTTAAAGCCAAAAACTATCACTTATTTTTAATCTTTTCAAAATGGAAAAACCACTGGCGCATCCGACAGATTTTAATTTTCAAATTAGAAAATATCAGCCTCTATAACCCATGGAAGCAAAAAAGCTTCTTGAGTCCTTTCTTATTCAGAAAGTGGGGAAGGCTCTGGAGGCCAAGGGTAAGACAAGCACTGTGAGATACGTGTGGCCGTGCCCGGGCCATTTCTTGCTCTGACCTTGCACGGAGCCAGTGTGAGGGGACTCCACAGGCCAGCCACAGCAGGCCCTGGCTGGGGCTGGGTTTTCGTCCCAGCACGGGAAGCCCTTGGTTTTTGACCTGTGAGATTCACAGCTTGTTTGGTGGTTTTGGTCTTGTGACTGGTTTTTTGATTTAGGGGTTTATGTAATTTTGTTTTTTTGATTTTTAGTCTTTACTATTTTGGTTCTTTTTACTTTAATTTTTTTCTAGCATTTTCTTTTTTTCTTTTTTTAAAGAGAGAGTGAGAGAGAGAAATTTTTAGTGTTTATTTTTTAGTTTCCGGCGGACACAACATCTTTGTTTGTATGTGGTGCTGAGGATCGAACCCGGGCCTCACGCATGCCAGGCGAGCACACTACCGCTTGAGCCACATCCCCAGCCCTAGCTTTTTCTTTTGAAAAAAAAAAAAAATAGCTAGCCTCCCCCAGTGTTGCTGCTCAGGATGTGAGAGTAGCCAGAGCCGTGTGGTTATGAGCATGTGGCAGGGCCTGTCGACCAGCTCCACCTTGGGAGATGTCCTCGCTTGCCATCATAGGGTTCTGAGGGACATTGGGCAGGGCAAATTGCCCCAGTGAAACTGCCCAACATATCCTTGTGGGGAAGAGGTGGAGGAAAATGTGGTCTCAATTCTATCCAAACTGGATATCATGGAGACTGGGAAACACCCAAATGTGATCGAACTTTTGAAATTTTTGAAAGTATTACCAGCATCTACGTCATCATGGAGCACACAGTGGGGGACACCTAGGGTACCACATCCTGGAGGCTATCGGCATGGAGGAGGAGGAGGAGGAGGAGGCAGCTGTGTGCTACCTGGGGCGGGGGGCAGGCTCACAGCTGGGCGGGAAGCTGGAAATGTTCTGCAGCACTCTCCAGTACAGTGCCTCAGAAACGTACCGGCAGAAAGCCTATGATGGCCCTGCAGTGGATGACTGGAACCTGGGTGTCACCTGTATTCATGGTCCCAGTGAAACTGGCCCAACATATACTTGTGGAGGCAGAGGTGGCTGTAAAAGTCCCATTTAAGGAGACCACCATTGCACAGCTGAGGGGGCAGATCCTGTGCACAAGGTATGGTATCCTTTGTCACCTTTCAGCCAAAGTGTGAAAACTCATCAGTGACTTACTGACCATGAGCCCCACAAATTGTGGGGTACTAGTAACTGAGCCAGTGAGGAATGTTCACCAACTAACTATAGCAACCCTAACCGCCCCGACCCCATGACAATGGCAATTATGTTTGACATGGGCTACAACCCATACCACACGTGGATGTCTCTCCATGAAGCCACGTGGACGTATCTGATGCTCCAGTACAAGATGGCTGGGGCAGCACAATTCAAGTTCAGCCTGCACCTTTGGAGGGTGGGCCTTGCTCAGTGCCCACAGATCCTTCCACCTTCATTCTCTGCCAGTGAGCCTGTCCTTCTTCCCTTCCCCTTCTTGTCCTCTGAGCATCATCTGGCCGAGGAGGACAAGCAGTCAGGACAGGAAGGCAGCAGAAGAGCCAGTATGCCTGGCATTCCTGTCTGCAGCCTGCATGCAAAGACCCCACTCCCAGCATAGCCTCAGCATGTCCCTGTGGGCCCTGCACACAGCTCAGTAGCAGGGATGCAGAGAGCAGTGCATGCTCCCAGGACACCTCAGAAGAACAAACTCCCTCTTCCCTTAGCCACCCCATGGCGGGCCACAACCTTTACCCATAAAAACAGCAAGGGTCCAGGGGAACAGGGGGTGCTGTGGCCCCTCCTCATTCTGCTGAGACATTCACAACAGCATAAGGAATTCCTGTGAAGCAGACGGTGTTGGGAATCTCTGCTTCCTTCTCCGCTTCTTTCCTCCCCTGTACTTTGGACATCTTACCTGTTGTTTTTCCACTGACCCATAAAAATCATACTTATTTCCTGGGTACAATGATAGGTGTGGGTTAGTTGAAAATGACTTATGTTGGGGTGCGTTCCTTCTATATCATATTTGCTTTTTGAGTTTTTATTATGAAGAATTGTTGAATTTTATCAAATGCTCTTTTCTGTGTGTGTTGAGATGATCATATGATTTTTTGTCCTTTATTCTCATTATGATTTAGATATGAGGTATCCCCCAAAAACTCATGTGTGAGAAAATCCAAGAATTTTCAGAGATGACATGGTCAGATTATGAGAGGCATCACCCGATCGGTGGATTAACCCATCGATAGGGATGAACTGGGTGGTAACTGTAGGCAGGTAGGTTGTGTCTGGAGGAAGTAGGTTATTGGGGGCACACCTTTGGGGTTTGTTTTGTCTCTGGTGAGCAGAGCTCTCCCTCTCTCTTCTTCCTGGTGGTTTTGTTCTAAGCTCTTCCCTCTGCCGTACCCTTCCACCATTATGTTTTGCTCAGCTTGGGCCCAGAGCTATGGAGTTGGCCAACTATGGACTGAACCTCTAAAACTGTGAGCCAAAATGAACTTTCCCTCCTCTACACCGTTCTTGTCAGGTCTTTTAATCACAAAGCTGACTAAAACAATTCTGGTGATATAGTGCCTCATATTTATCGATTTGAATATGTAGAACTCACTTTGCAATCCTGGATAAATCTGACGTGGTCATGGTGAATAATCTGGTTAATGTTCTATTGGCTTCAGATTGCTAGTGTTTTACTGAGGAGCTTTGCATCTATGTTCATCAGGGATACTGGCCTGAAGCTTTCTTTTTTGGATTGTGCTCTTCTCTGGTTTTTGTACTGGGTAACGCAGAGTGAAAAGATTCTAACAGCTGTGAAGAGGCTTCCATTTTATAGTTTCTATGAGGCCAAAAAGTAAATGAGATAATAGATACCACTTTAGAATACATGCATAATCCTCTCATTGTGTGAATGACATTTACAAATTATTTTCTAATAAAGTTGCCTCATTGCCCTTCCCCCAAATGACATCTTTTCATAATGTTGATGCTTCAGAATTAAGTGCACCTCATAAAGGGACTTTAAAGACCAGAAAGAAAATTCCTAGCACAGGGCAGTTTTTAAGAACAAAGGAAGGGATTTTGTCAGAGGATGGGCCCAGACGATGTTTTGAGGTGATTAGAGGCTCTGCCAAGACCTGCCTTTTCCTTTGAGTGTTCACAATATCCAAAATCTGACTCTGGAGATTCAGGTGACACAGGCCAGCCTTTGTGGCTCCAGGGTACAGCACTGAGCACTCTGGAGGTTCGCTGCATGTGATTATACCCAGGAGATGGCAGCATCTACCTAAAGATGCGCCAACCCACCGTGAACACCTCAGGACTGTATGGAATATGCTTACTGAACAGCAGGGGGCGCTAAGGCTCCACCACAGGGTGGAGAATCAGAGGATCCCCTTCTAGGAACATTTTCAAGTCTCTGTGCTTTTCTGCATTGGCAGGACTGGTCCACATATGCACATCACAGTGTCCCACACAAGATTTCCAAATCTAGACAAGGATACCGAGACACTGAATTTTAAGGCTCAGACAGAACTGGGCCCCCTTTTTTACATTTCAGCCATCACAGGAAATGTTCAACATTAAATGCATGTTTCAGAGGCAGATCACCCAGGGTACAAATGAGGCAGAAGTTGTACCCATTAGGAAACAACAACTAAATAATGAACTAGGACTAATTGCATGCTTGCTTCTATGTGCCCGGCACTGTGGCCATGAATGCATATCAAATGAGGTGACTCCTAGTGACAGCTATATAGATATGTAGTTTCTTGCCATCAGAGAAGTAACTGTGTTCTTTATCTCCTCCTTACACTTTAGCCCCTGATTTTCAGTGTCACTTCTTGTCATACAACTAACTGCATTTTCAATGAAAAAGAGATCTAATCCAAAGTTGTTTGATTCCAAACCTTCTGTTCTTTCTATGGACCCAGCTTCCCCTCTGACACTCGGACAACAAGAGAATATTCATTCCTTTGAAAGAAATTTAGTGTCACTTGTAATTGTTTTTCTTTTTCCTACTAGAACACCATTGAATTAAATAATTTATCCCAGTGCTGAATGGAAACTTCTAACCAAGCAAGTCCTAGTTAAATGGACTGTAATGTAGATTTCAGGAGCACT